GTGTGTGTGCGTGCGTGCGTGTGTGTGTGAGTGTGTGTCTGTGCCGCGGCCAAAGTGCAAACTAAGGAGTCAGCGTACAGTCCTCCATTTCCTCCATTTCCTCCAGTCCAGTAAAGTCAAGGTAAGACTTCCACATTCTTTCCTTACAGTATTATTTTATTTATTAGAGACGCATCTGTGTATAACAACACAATATGTTAGACACGGAAACATCAACATAAAACGAATGAAATGTTGGGTCACTCAGTATTCCTTCATTGTGCTGACTCAGCACTGTTTTCCCTCCTTTTTCTACAACTATTTCTTCCGTACATTGTTTTGGTTGCTAATAACTTCTGCATACTTTCAGCTACAGAACCTATAAAACCTGTTCAGCTCTTTAAGGACATGTATGCTATGACTTTGTTACTGTTTCTACCTCTGAAACATTCATCTTTTTTCACATGTTTTTACAATGATTCAGTTGAGCAAATCCTCTTAAACTTCTCTAACTGTGAAAGACTTCTTCTGCATACGTTGAGCTACAGACACCATTTAAACAAGTAACATGACTTTGAACTGTTGTGGTATGATTCAGCTTTTTAATAGCTTTTTGGGTTATTTACAGATTTAAATCTTTAGATGTTTCAGGTGTATAACTCTCTCCCCCCGGCTCTTTCTCCTGTAAGCAGGAAATACATTTTCTAGTTTGGGCCCGAGCACCGACAACGTCAGGCCAGCGAATCTTCCCCTCATTTTTGGCCATTTCTTGGCGCTATACTTTACAAACAGCATCCGATTTACATGCTGTTGTTTACACTTGATATAGAGCGACATAATGCATGTTGATGCGTGTTGTCTAGTGGATACAGGAAGTGTGTTTTGTTAAGCTGTGATATGAGTGTGTGTATGAAGTATTAAGTATTTGTACTAGTTAGCTAGTACAAATACATCTTGAATCGAGTCAAACCCGTATACACATCACATCAGTGTGTGCACTATATTTATATTTCAGGTGTAGGATGTTTGTTACAACTAACTATATTATTGTAATTTTAGGTGAAAAATGCCTCCCAAAAAGCAAGAAACATACAGCAAGGACATCAAGTCCTATTTCAAGACAATTGTAAGTAAAAGCTCAGCTACAATTCTCTGCAATCAATACGTAACATACATTTGAATCTTTGACTGAATCTGTATGTTGTGCAGCCTCAATGTTTGGTAAACTAAGGCTATGCTCTAACAAGGATGGAATTTCCAGGAGTGACTGGTGGTTCGCTCCCCGGCTCTGCTTTGTCGATGTGTCCTTCGGCAAGACACTTAACTTAATAAATTGCTCCCACAAGCTGTGCCTGTGGTGTATGAATGATCAGATAGTCCTGATGGGCAGGTGGCACCTTGTGAATGTGGGTGAATGATGACTTGTAGTGTTAAAGCACTTTGAGTGGTCGGAAGACTAGAAAGGTACTGTACAAGACCATTTACATCTACGCAATTAGCCACAGCTTGTCCAACTGATTTCTATGCGTGTGAATGCTATGCATCATTTTTTAAGGATCCTGGCAGCAGCAGCAGCGTGACCACCATGGAGACACAACCAGGCGGAGCTGCAGGCCCTCGGCCGG